TTTTTTTTTTTTTTTTTGAGACAGGTCTCACTCTGTTGCCCAGGCTGGAGTGCAGTGGTGCCATCTTGGCTCACTGCAGCCTCAATCTTCTGGCCTCAAGTGATCCTCCTTCCTTAGCCTCCCTACTAGCTGAGACTACAAATGCATGACCACCATACCTGGTTAATTTTGTTACCGGAAAGGAAAGGGGTCTTAATCCAGACCCCAAGAGAGGGTTCTTGGATCTCGCACAAGAAAGAATTTGAGGTGAATCCATAGAGTAAAATGAAAGCAAGTTTATCAAGGAGGTAAAGGAATAGAGAATGGCTACTCCATAGGCAGAGCAGCCCTGAGGGCTGCTGATGGCCCATTTTAATCATTATTTCTTGATTATATGCCAAACAAAGGGTGGATTATTCATACCATCCCTTTTTAGACCACCTAGGGTAAATTCCTGACATTGCCACAGTATTCGTAAACCATTTTGGCACTGGTGAGAGTGTAGCAGTGAGGATGACTAAAGGTCACTCCCATTGCCATCTTGGTTTTGGTGGGTTTTAGCTGGCTTCTTTACTGTTTTATAAGCAAGGTCTTTATGACTTGTATCTTGTGCTGACTTCCTGTCTCATCCTATGACTTAGAATGCCTAACTGACTGGGAATCCAACCCAGCAGTTCTCAGCCTTATTTTACCCAGCCCCTACTCAAGATGGAGTTGCTCTGGCTCAAATATCTCTAACATTTTCCCACTTCCTTTTATAAGAGAACCCTTAGTCCTAAGGGTTACAGAGGGATGAAGATCCATCTTCTGTAACTTCATGCTGAATAGGTGCGATGATATTTCTGCCTAACTATTATTAGGGTCTCTTGTATTGGGGGTAGAGAGGAGCTCAGTCAGAAAGGATTGGTATGGCGAGGGTCATTTATAGTCTTTAAGTTCTGACAAAAGGTGATATCCAGAAGATTAACAAGTGTCCAGTTTAAGAGAACATTGTGTAAACTTATCCTGCATTCCTACACATAAGATACAACAGCAATATATTCCACAAGAGTAAAGCTAAATAAGCAATATTATACCAAGTAAATGAAATAAGAAGCCTTTCTATGAACTGGGCAACTGTTGAAACCAAGCTGATATGATATGGGGTTGCTAGATGATTCCAGTATGTGTCCAGAATTAGAATATTGTTCAAGAATTTTACATTATTCATCCTTCTTGTTTCTTCTGAGCAGCAGCCAGAGATCACTAGTTGGTTCACAGGAATAAGTAGAGTTAATCTAGATTGTAGAAAAAAAAAAAACCCTCAAAAACAACTGATGAGGCTAGAATCTAATAACAGGTGTACCATAGTTCTTGAAACATATTTTTTTCTCACTCCAGTCTCTCACTTTTACTAAAGGCAAATCATGGTATGACTGA